CCACGTTTGTGTTTCCATCTTCATACACTCGAGGCTGGTTATGCGGCTCGGATACGGTCGGGGAGACCCCAATAAAGCGCGGCGACTTCGGATTTCGTTTGTCCGGGACGCCGCGGGACCGCGGGACGGGGGCGCGACGGGCTAATATTATCTCAACGACCTAATATGAATCAGTCGGCGTTCCTCCTCATCTCATATCCACCGTGTGGCAGAGCAGAGCGGGAGAGAGAGTGGTCCTCTCCTGCTCTCCCGCGGGAGCTCGTCACACGGCCGGGAGATATCGCCACTTGACCCTCCTTCCCTCCCCTCTCTCTCCGGGCGCGCGGGCTCTCCCGACATTAAAGGACTCGGTGGCAAACACGTTTTGGGGGATGTCCAACAGCCCCGGGGGCCACGGCGTCATAAAGCCCGATACCTACCTACTGCGCGCCATAACCTCCTGCCCTCCCCTTACCCCGTCATCCTGGTGGCGCCCACGAGGCGCGCGAGGCCTGGCGCCATCAAGTAGTGTGTGTCCTTGTTAGAGACACCACCTGAGGGCCGAGGGGGCGGCGGTGTGAGTGGGCAAGAGGTACTAGCGCCACCACCCGCGAGTTGTAAAACCATCGCCGGGACGGGTTGGCGCGGCAGCCGCAGCACCAGGAGATGGAGAGAGAGGGAGAAGAGAGGTATGGGAGGCGAGGACCGTCAGATAGAGGGCGGGAGATTGCTTTTAAAAAGTTCTGTGCTGTGTTGGGGTTGCGGGGCTGGTAGAGGGAGAGGAAGGAGGGAGAGCGAGAGAGATGGGCGTGCCTTGGAGTGTACCTTGTGACTGTTGCGAACGCCCGTCCGAACACATACACATCAAAGCTTGTGTGGTTGTGGCTGTGGCGTGGTGCGGCCCGGGCCTCCCCGTCGCCCGCTCGCGACGTATCATTTGAGACCCCAAACTGGCTGCGATGGCTGCGCGCGTTGTGTTGTGCGTCTCGGAGGGGAAGCAGGCGCGACCGAGCAGAGAGGAGGGCGGCGGCAGTGCGTGTTTGTAGTTGTGCTGCAGAGATGATGTCGAATTAATTAGTCGCGTTCCTTAAAAGGTATCCTCCTCGCAGCGGCGCGCGCCAGGCGAACAACAATCCCCTCCCC